ACTTGTACTGCAAGACAGAAAGGAGCAGCCTCTGGTGACTGCACTCTTCACTGGGACTATGACGAGTGCACAAGTCACCAGCCAGAACTGTCCTTTGATGCAAAAATGTTGTGTTTCTTGAGCATCACCAAAGGAAAGGAACCAACGGGGCGAGTTAACTCAATCTCAATATTTGTGAGGATCCTCTCTGAGCATGCTGCAAATCCAGAGCAAGGGGAAACACCTGGGGTGTGCCCCTGCCTGGCTCATGAGTGGTCAGGCAAAACTGAACCTACAAACAACAAGCCACAAATCAATGTTTATCATTTATTTCTACTGTATGCAATGTTATTAGGGAAAAGCTATTAGCAGCTAAGTAGAAAAGAGATGTAATAAATAGAATTCTTAAAATCCAGGAGACCCTGTGTTAATCAGATGCCACACCTACAATGCATTCAAGCTATTTTACTTTAAAGCAAAAATACCCTAAAGGCTAAACTCAAAAAACATATCTCAAAGATGTTTTAGGGCTTTTTTGAGATGCAAAAATATACTTGAAGACAACTGGAATTAAACAAACCACAGCCCAATGTCATCTTAGGAAAAAAAAAAAAAAAAAGAAAAGAAACAAAGCAACTTGCCTCCCCCCACACGAAAAACCTCCTGGGTTATTAACTCTGTGGTCAGCTTGGTTAGCCAGATCCCAAGTCATTTCTATCCCTGAACTAGCACTGGTGAGATATTAACTGCTTCCCAGAGGACTCCATGAATTCCATCAAGCCATGTCTACTGCAAACAACAAAAAAGAGAAGCATCCCAAAGTGCACCCCCTGAGATGATGGTGCTAGTGAGAGCAGCGTGACTCACACCCCAGAGGGTGCACAGGTGAGGGCAGGAGTGTCCCCACGCTCAGCTCTCTTCTGCAAACACAAGCCAGCTCCTCCAGCATCGCAGCCCGCGGGAGCTGCCACTCTACAGCCAAGGAACTCCTCCAGCTCAGCCACGAGCAAAGAGCTCCACTTTATGGCACCCAACAGAAAATGCCAAAACCAGGCCAGAAAGACACAAGAAAACTGTATTTTCACGTGTGTTTTAATGAACTCTGCTACGGCCAGTGATGGGAAAGGAAACCAACCAATTGGTCTTTATACAAACAAAATACAAAGATACATACACTTACTCCACAGCTGACAACCTGCCTGGAGAAGAGGAGACAGAGCTAGCCCTTCAAAAATCTATAATAAAGCCCTCCTGGTACAAAAGGCCTGGGGAATCCTCTTGCCGGCACAAGGATGCCGCTAAGGAGCGGTGCAAAGCCACAGGGGGAAAGGAGCGCTGCAGCTCGTAGTAACACACCCCCATCATGTCTTCCCTGCTCTGTCAATAGGTGGGTTGTTGTCGCACTCCCACTCCGGCTGCCTTAGAAAGGCTTAAATAAAAATAAAAAATGAAGGGAGGAAGAAGAGCAACTCGGAAAAAAAAAGAAGAAAAAAAGGAGCGCCAGCGCTCCTAGCACCGGCGAACGGCCTCTCGGAACGGGCCCGCCGCCCCAAGCTCCGCCTGGGGCATCCACAGCGGCGAAGGGAGGAAGAGGAGGAGGAGGAGGAGGAGAAGGGGGAGGGCCGGTGCGCGACACCCACCGCCGGGCCCGCAGGAGGGGCCGGCAGCCCAGCCCCCTCGAGCCCCCGCGCCCGGGGAAGGACGCGTCACCCCGCCGAGCATCCTCGGCACCGGGGCGCACCGGGCGGCCCCCGGCCGCATCCATCCTACCTCGCTGCCGGCCGCGGGGTGTGCGCACCGCATCCCGCCCCGCCGCGGGCGCGGGAGCGGCGGGAGACGGATAATGGAGGCGGCGGCAGGGAGGACGCACCGGCGGCAAGTCGCGTGCGCGGGGAGGGACCGCGAGGGCGGCCGGACACGGACCGGCACCGGGGCCCGCCCGCCGACTCCCGCCACCCCCCCACAGCCCCCCCGCCGGGCGCGCCCTTTGTGCGGGGCGCGGGAGGTGTGTCCGGCGGCGGGCGGGCTGTGCGGCCGGGGCTGGCTGGGTGCGCCCGGGTGTGTTCGGGCCGCCGCCGCCGCCGGGGCGTCGGGNNCTGCCCGCCTCGGTGCCGCAGGCCGCGCGGAACCGCCGCAGGTTGATGCCGATGGTGGCCGAGACCTGGAGCGCCGCATCGAAGCCGGGACCGGCCGCGGCCGCGGGGCCGCCGGGGCCCGGCGCTGCCCCGCCTCCGCCGCTTCCCGCCGCCCCGCCGGAGCACCCGCCGTCGCCGGCGCCGCCGCAGGTTCGGCGGGCCGCAGGCTATGCACGGCCGGCACCCGTAGGCGGGACCCCCCCGGGCCCCGGCGGCCCCAGCCGCCGCTGCCGGGCCGGGCGGGGAAGCGCCACCGACCGCTGTGCGCCATCTTTACTGAGAGGCGACGAGCCAGAGAGCGGGGCCGGGCCGCACCCCGCGCCCTGCATAGCGCTTCGCCGGCCCGTGGAGGCGCTGCATAACAACGGGTGCCATGCAGGTTGTGGGGCTCCGCCATCCCGCCGCCCCGGCACATGAATAAGCCATGCTCGATCAGTGCTAGCGCAGCATAACGCTGGGCGATATGCAGAGCCCCAGGCCCGAGCCCCAGTGCAGCCCCCCGTCCTGGATAGCGCAGCCTCGGGCCGCCGCGGCCCCTCATAGCTCGCAGTGCCATACAGGCGCAGGGCTCCTCGCGAGCCGGCCCCGGAACCTGCCTGACGTATAAACGGGCCGTAAGCAGCCCTCATAACCCCGAGGGCGATGCCGAGCGGGAGCAGGAGCCCCGCGCCCCGGACCGCGCATACGGCATAGGCGGTGCTGCGACCCCCTGCATAGCGCCGGGCCGTATGCGGGGCGCGGGGCGCGGCCCCGGGCCCGGCATGGCAGAGCCCGCAGTCCGCTGCTCGACCCGGGACGAGCCGGTCCCTGCGGCGGGACCGCGGCCCCGAGCCGAGTACCGAGGGCGGGCGGCTTCGCCCTGCCCTCCCGGCCCCGGCTGTGTCCTGCCTGCGGCCCCGCGCCCTGGCGGTGCCGCGTCCCGCTGGGTGCCGCCCCCGCGAGGGAGGCGGCGGCGACAGCACCGGGCTGGCAGCCCCGTCGCGCACAGCACGGCGAGAACAGGGTTAACATCCAACAAGTGCCACCGTCTTCTGTGAGAACAGCACTGCAAACGCACGGATAGGATGTCAATCCCTCTGCTTGGGGACATAAAATACCCATTTTCCTCCCAAGTTCATCAGCTGAGGGAGGGGCGGGGAGGCTGTTTGTCGGGGTTAGAGAGGACGAACCAGCGGCTGTGGGGTCACAGCCCCTGCTGCTGCGGGAGCGGGGCCGGGAGGGACTGCTCCCGAGGAATTCCCGGGAGGAGATCTAAGATTACATGGTTTCTTCGTCTCTAGGGACAGGAGAATCGTTGGGCTCTCCCATGCTTTACTGGTGCAGCTCAATCCCATCCTCCCACTGAAGCTGCTGCCAGGCCAGTGCTGGTGTGAGCTGCAGCCCCCTGAATGCCCACCAGAACCTGCTTTGAGAGGGGCACGTGTGGACAAGAACAAGTCAGAGCAGAGGCAGGTGTTGGAGCCAGATCAGACAGCCTTGCCCTCGGTGAGGTTCTCTTAGGTTCAGAATCCTCCTTGCAGTCAAGCTCACACGACATCCCACATGTGATCTCCCTTTCCTTGAGGAACACATCCTGCAGAATCTCACAACAGGGCCTGGCCCATTCCCCTCGCTGGTCTCTCCACCTGCTGGGTGAAGGGTTTGTGGTGACAGGAGCAAAAAGCTTGTGGGGAGCAGCAGTTCTGGGGGCCATCATTCACCCCTGCTCAGCCACACCTGGTCAGGTTTGCTGGGGCTGAGCAATCACAGAACTCTGCAGCAGGAGGAGGAGGAGGGCTGTGCCAGGCAGGCCAGGTGTCCTGGCTGGGCTGGTGGGAGAAGCAAGCCCAGGACCCAGGCTGGGCAGGGGGCTGGAAGCACAGGTCCAGTCACTGCTCCTGGGGCAGACTGCCCCACAGAAGCTGGGGAGTTCACTGAGCCTGTTTTCCTATCTGTGGCACAGAAGTGACCTGTGGCCAGTTGTGACCCAGAGCTGCTGGGGCAGGAAGCCTTCTTTTAACAAGAAAGAAGAAAAGGTTTCCATCCATGCCAGAACAACCTACTGCTTACCACATGTGGAGTGTGAGCTCCCTGCACTCCCTGCCAGAAGCACACAAGGCCTGCTGCTGGGATGAGCTGCTGAGAAGGTCAGTTCTGCTGCAGGGAGAGCAAGTGACATGCTGCTGGCACAGTCACCAGAGACACTGGGGTCACTGGGGGCTGCGGGGTCAGTGGTGTGCACAGCACAACGCCCAGAGGAGCAAAGGAGCAGCAGGACAACAACAGTATCAACAAGGAGCAATACTAGCTAAAACCATCTTCTAAGACAGTAAAAACAGGCTGCTATCTTCAGAGGACTCCTACAAATTATTTTCTGAACACGTCAGAGCACAGGGCACTCACCAGGTTTTGTAGAAAGCCCTGCAGGGGCTGGCTGAGAGTGAGCAAGGTGGTAGAACCCCAGACAGCTCAACCTCTGGCTGGTGGCAGGAAAGCTTTGCTTACTTATACAGGCTTGCACTGCACCAGTCAGACACCAAGCCAGAAGAGCTGCGTTCCCTATGGAATAAGCCATGGAAATTGCTTCTGATAGTGTAAAAAGTACTGAAATTTGCTTTTGTGTCCCACTAACTGCTGGGAACCACATTCAGGAACAAATTGAATGTTTCCCCTTTGCAGCCTCTGTTTGATTTTGGGGCTCTCAGACCTCCCCTGGAGCCGCAGCTGGGACCCAGTGAGTGTCCCAGAGCACACAGAGCTCTGGTGACCAAAAATGATGTCACTAAAGCAGCTCTGGCACCCTTGGGCCTGGCCCTCAGACCCCTCTTGAGGAGCCATCCCTGCCAGCATTGCCCCAGGACAGGCTGGCACCTGTCAGAGCACCAGACAAGGATGACAACAGCTCGGTACAGGCTCCCAGTTTTATTGTTGCAGACCCTGTTACAGAGCCAGCAGGGTGGCACAGCTGCCACTGCTGAGGTGAGGGCTCACACATTGTAGCCGATGATGCCGCCCTTGCCGATGATCTCCCCGATGTAAAACCACATCAGCACCTCTGTGGCCACCAGGCCATTCCTCAGTGCATCCTGAAAGGAAAAAGCCACTGCTTAGATCAGATCCCACACTCCCACAACAGCTCCTCCCTCACTGCCACATCCCTGCCCTCCAGCAGCTCTCAAGGCAAAAACCCACAAGTGGAGCAGAGTGTTTGCTGTGTTCGGCCACCCCTCAACATGTCCCATCAGAGAAATGTTCTACAACATTAAGCACACTGTCACCTGCTGGTTGTGGCTTTTTACAGCTCTCTCAAGTATCATTTCTTAGCCACACAATGGAAACACACTGATTTCAAGGCCAGCTGATGACACAGCTGATCCAGAAGGCTGGGCTCATTCAGCCACCTATGGATTCTCCCTTTCCTGGGAGCAGAAGGGAACAATCAGCCTGGTCCAGGCAGGGAAGAATTAAAGCAAAGCCAATAATATAAAACACTTTAAACTCTGGGCCCTTGAATTCCATGAGCTTCGCATGTCGTAGCCAACATTTCCCACTGCTTCCCAAGGCAGGAGCAGAGCATGTCCTGGGTGGCCGGGAGGCTCCCGCCGGAGCTGTGCCCCGGCACTGCCGCGTCCCGCCCGGCCGGTACCTTGACGGTGAGCTGCGCCAGGCGGCCGCTCTGGAAGGCCCTGACCAGGCCCTTCATGCTGTCGATGGCCCGCGGAATCTCGGCGGGGGTCGGCGGGGCCAGCTCCACCTTGGCGTAGTACCAGAACGTGGCCAAGCGCGGCTTCGAGTAGGTCACGGCGGCTGCGGGAGGGGGAGCGGAGCGGACGGTGTTCTTCCAACGGCTGCCGAGCCCCGGCCCGCTCTCTGAGCCCCGGCCCCGCTGCCTGAGCCCCGGCCCGGCTCCCTGAGCCCCGGCCCGCTGCCCTGAGCCCCGGCCCGCTCCCTGAGCCCCGGCCCGCTGCCCTGAGCCCCGGCCCCGGCCCGCTCCCTGAGCCCAAATCCCCTCCGCTCCGCTCCCCGGGCCGCTGTCGCTCCCTCACCGCCGAGGAGCTCGGGCCCGCGCTGCACCAGCCGCTGCACCAGCCCCTGCGCCGCCTTGGCCATCGCTGCGCGCTCAATGTCACCGCCCGCACCGCGCCCGGCGTTCGCCGCGGGCAGCCCGTAGCGAGGACCCCGGGCCACGTGCGCGGGGCGGGGCCGGGCCGGGTCCGCGGGTTCGAGTCCCGCGCAGGGCCGGGACCGCGCCGCTCCCCGCACCGAGCCCCGCGCGGCTTCTTGCAGCTCCCGGCACCGCCAGACCTCCACCACCAGCTGTAAGATGATCTCTGTGTTTAATTTCCAACGCCCGCCATTCCCAACACTCACTGGGGAAGCAAACCCTGCTACACCCCTGGCACATAAAAGTTGGAAAGACGTTCCCCTGCTGTCCATCCCCCGTCCCGCTCTGGGAGCGGCCGAGGCATTGCTTTCACCGCTGAAAGATGGTTACAGTTTAAACACAGAACCGAGGGAAGCTTTTGGTGTTGCTGGAACGTGGCCAACACAAAGGGCAGGTAATGGAGAGCCAGGGCACCGCACCATGAGGAGCTGTGTTCTCCTGCCGAGGCTGCGGCTCGGAGCTGCAGTGCACTGGGAAGTCGTAGTATTAAAGAGAGAGTCTTGAAAGGAAAAGAGAGAACAAGGGCTGGCAGGGAAGGTCTGAGGAGAGAGTCCAAGGGTGGTGGCAATGCACTAAATGTGGCTGTCATTAGGGTGGCAGCTCCAGCCGAAACCCCTGCATGGCTGTGATCTTGCCCATGACAGGAGGGTTAGAGATGAGATCCTGTCTTTTAGCTCAGCGTGTCCTCCAGCTCCTCCTCCTTCTGCTTTTTCCTCTCTGCAAGCCACCTCTGTATCTTCTCTTTCAGCTCTGTGTTTGGTCTGATCTGGTCCATAGTGAGGGGACTCCGATTGAAAGGATCTGTCTGATCACTGAAACATAAAACATCAAGGAGATTACTTGGACACTCCTGGTGCTAGAGATTTACAAAAGGCCAGGAAGAATCACTGGATATGTGAAACAGATTCCCAAGAGTATCAAGGTGTGAGGGCTGTGCTGCACACCTGAGGAGGTGCCGGGCTATGGTCGATCTGTCCACAGTGACACGGGAGGAGGGCAGGATCACGGGGTCTGACATCAGAGTGCTCATGATTGGATCCAGGAATTCATCACAGGCATCTGCGTACGTCTCCTCTTCCTGCTGCTGCCGGTCTGCAAGAGACTGGGGAGCACACGTGGCTTTCAGGGACTCAGGCTCCCTGTTCTCTAAAAACCAGGGAGCATTCCCAGGTCTGTGCAGGCAGGGAACCCTCCCAGCTGCCCCATCTGGACCTTGGACAAAGCTCCACTCCCAGAAATCCAGCTCCACAGCAAAGATGCAGCAACACACAGAGCGAAAAGGACACAGGGAACCAGCTCTATCTTTTTTTGCAGGTTGAATTCCCTCCAGTGCTCACCTTGATCCTCTCAGCCAGGTTACTGAAAGACACTATCATGTTGCCAGGCTTGTTAATCTTCTTCAGAACCCGCACGGTCTGGGCAAAGAGCGTCGGTGAGTAGGAGCGGCCGTCCTTGGGGACGGTGGCACAGAAGTTTTCTTCATCCCTGCACCACAGGTTACGTGAGAGAAAGGCTTAAGAATCCCCATTTATCAGGGCTGCAAAACGGTCCCCACAGCAGCCACATTCCCACAGCAAAGGACTCAAAGCTAAAGAAAAGCTCGAGTGTAACTAAGCATTTCTCCCCAGTATCACCAAGATGGCTCCTCATGGCTCCCGACAGGATCACTCCCCTCGTCACCTACCCAAGGTTTAGGTAGATGGTGCAGATGTCAGACACGAGCTGCTGTGGTTTGAAGTCAAACTCACTGAAATCCTTCACCTTCAAAGCTCCCATTTTAGGCCCAACCAGGTGTTGCAGGAAGTAGTTGAGCATGGAGATGATGCGCTCGGCAAGGAAAGGATGCACAAACAGGGACTTGATTTCTGGAAAGCAAAACAACAGTTTGCAGATTCACAGCAATTCCATCCTCATCTGACCACACTGAAACCAAGTTCCTGCCTGCTCACTCCCTGGCAGGGCTCTTCTCCAGGTCCTGGCAGGCAGGAGGGGCCATTTTCCCTACCTGAAGTCAGGAAAGCCAGAGTGCCAATGGTTTCATTGGACATGATGTTGTGGAAACGTGCCAGCTGCCCAAACATCTGCAGGCTGGACTCCTTCTCGCGGCGAGCCTCCGGGGACAGGCTGTCCCACTCGCCTCGGTCCTTCTCAATCTGCTGAACTTTGATCTTGCTGAGGTACTGCAAGACAGAACACACGGGCTGTTTGGGTGGGTGGCGACGCCAACGAGGTCCAGGAATGCTCAAAACCAGTCAGGCAACATCCGTATCACCCATCTTATCTGCTGGCCTTCCAGCAATCAGTTCTCTGGCAGGTAATAGCTCCCCAAAATAGCCCTTTCTAGCAGCAACAGCAGCTCTGAAAGGAGGCGAGAGTCATTTAACACACACCAGGGACACGAGAGCACCTGAAATTCCCTTGTAATCCCAAAGGAGAACTGCCTGGAGACAAAAGGCCTTTTTTAGGATGAAAAACTTGCAGAAAGACCACGGGGATTTGAGAATCAAAACCCACGGTGATTGTTTAAAGCCTGAGTGTATCCAGATTAGGAACAGGCAGATTTCCCAGCGTGCTTCCTGCTGGATCTGAAAAAGCCCTTTTGCTCCTCTTGGTTCTGCGCTGCCTCCTGAACCCAAAGGAAGGAAGGGTAACCCACAGCCAGGGCCCCAGACCCTTCCTCCTGCCTTCCCCCTTCTCCCAGGGCATTGGCCACCCCATCTTGGGATTGTTTCCTGCATACTACTTACTGCAGACTCACCAGGCAGGGCCGGGCAAGCTGGCCCTATTCTGGAGGTCAGCATTGCACCAAGGAAGTGAGAACTTGTTTACCTGATGATGATGGAAGGTGAGCTCAGCCCTACCTGTATGGCTTCATCCAAGAGGAAAATGGCATCGTTCATGAGCAGGTTAAGGAAGCGCAAGAAGAGAGGGGGATTCATCGCCTCCAGGTTCTCGGAGGCATAATCAGCCAGAGCCTGCAAAGAAAGGGGGAATAGCAAATTCCCACTGGGGCAGGACACGGAGCCACGTGACCCCCAAGTGGCTGCACACCCACATGCACACTCGCCTCACCTTTATGCTGTCCCGGTAGGAATCGGTGTCCCACATGTACCTGAGGATGGGATACATGGGGCGGCGGTAGTTGAACTTCTGTTCAAACTGGTGTGGGTCACCTGAGCACAAGCCAAAGAACCTTTCAAGTGGACAGTCCCCCCCAGGTGCTACTCAGAGAGCACAACTCTTCCCACTGTGTGCCTACCCGTGAACTCGATATCCACAAAGACCTTGATGAGTGCCTCGGCCAGGTGGGCGGCGTGCTGGTAGGAGCAGAACACGCGCTTGCGGTGAAACACGCTGGACACGAGGGGGCTCTGAGCCTGATCCAGGTGAGGCATCACAGCTTCCAACACTTCAGCCAGCTTGGCTCGCAGGTGAGGATTTTTCATCCTGCGAGAGAAAACAAAGCAAATCCAGGATGGCATGTCCATGGTGCAGCATGGAGCTGCTCAGGAATCACTCCAGGATCTGCTCCTCCTGCCTGAGTGCCAGATTGCTGCAGACCGTCAGTAAAGCCAGCCCTGGGTCAGCTCTCACTTGCACAGACTCCGTGCCACAGTGGAATCTTGGTCACCCCGAGTGTTCTGCAACAAGGACCTACCTCTCCACATCACCCATGAAAACAGTAACAAAGTGAAGGATGTGCTCCAGGGAATCGGCAGAAGTCTCCAAGATGTCATCAGCAAAACGCCGCAGGAAAATGAAGAAGTCGCCCAAATTATCGGCAAAGAACTCTGCAAACAGAGATTGTAGCTGAGCTCCTCCCCAGACAGCTCACCTTGCCCTTTTCCAGCCTCCCATCCACTGTGCCCTCACCACCCTGATGCTGATTAAGTATTGGTAATTAACAAGCTGTATTAGAACCTGCCATGGAGAAGAAGGCCCAGCCTGATGGCATGAGTAACACCTGGGACTCACTTCCCCTCTTCCCTCCCACAAGTCAGGTCACTTCTGGGGTGAATCCAGCATCTGTCTGCTGATGACACACTTCTACACAAGCCCCAAGGGAAGAATCCTGAAGCAGACCCCAGAAAAAAGAGTTTACATATAGATAAAACACTAAATCAATGTAGAACGTGCCACATGCAAATGAGTAGGACTTCTAAAAGGTCAGCAGCCTCACTACCCTGAGTATGGCCCCTCAAACAGCCCCAAATTTCCTAAGACTGATCCTCTTCAGAGAGAATATTCTGCACAGTGTCGGTGGTGGCAGCGTGTGCTGCCCTGGACAGGGAGCACTTGCTCAGGCAGCTCTTGCAGTGCTGGTGTGTGCAGTGCTGGCCCCCAGCAGCACCCTGGGCTCACCTGGCACGTAGGCCAGCGCGCTGTGCTCCACCTGCGGCAGCGGGAAGGTCAGCTCCAGCGCCTCGCTGCCCTGGTTCCCCACAGCCAGCTGCACCAGCAGCACTGCCATGGACACCTGCAGGTTCAGGCAGTTCTGCAGCATCTGCGGGTCCGTCATGGCCGTCTTGGTGGAGAGATAGATGGTCATCAGGCGCTCAAACTGCTCCCTGAGGCTGTCAGCAGCAGGGCTGGAGCTCTGCTGAGCTTCTCGCCATGCCACTTGCAGGCGGTGAAGGCTTTGGTTTATCTTTACCATCTGGTCGTGCAACCTGCCCGGGAAAGGAGGCAAGGAGGGGCTCAGGAGTCAGACAGACAGACAGACATGCTGCCTCACCAGTGCGGAAGCTGGTGGGAGACTGCTCCATGCTGGTGGATTCAGATAATTTCCCGTGGGTACCTTGTCTGGGGCTCTGGCAATGGGAAGCTGTGGGGAAAGGCTTGGCAGGACCTGGGAGGGTACGAGACCCTGTGAGGGACCATGGCACCTGCAGAGTGGCCTGGGGACATGGCAGAGCCCTCTGCAGCACCGAGCTCCCTTGGGCCACTGAGGTCAGGGATCCAGGGATCTAGAGACGCTTGCAAGGTGACACTTCAGTTTCCCAGCAACAAGCCACTTGCATAATAACTTTTTTGTCAATGTCTATATTTAGAGAATAAACCAGAAGGGGACTCTGCTTGGATCAGACATGACCTCACAGTATCTAGGCAACGATTTGCAGAGGGAAGTTGTGCAAAACAGAGTGTTTTAGTGTCCAGAAAATCCTCTCCTGGAAGCTGACAGCTACCTCACATTGCTGTTTTCCATACAGCCCAGCTATCAGGGTGTTTAGGTCACTCCCAGTGGGCAGATGCTCTGCCACCTGCATGCAGC